GCGATTATCTTCATTGTGATTCACTCATACGGCTACCCATAGTAGTTCCTTTTTGGGATTACCTTATAGAGGAATCTAAATATGAACCCCCAAAAGGAGCTACTATGGGGCCTATGGGTAATCCAGTAAATGACTACTTCTCTTCAAAGAAGTCTCCCTACTTCTCTTCAAAGAAGTCTCCTCTCAAGACAATTCAGTGTGCATCTCATCAGAGCGTGGATTCGCAGTTGGGTTGTGCATGGAGCCCACAAGGCATTAGTGTCTCACCCTCAACCGAAGCGCACAAATAAGTCAAAGCTGTTGAAGCGAGGGTTTTAAGCAGCTGCGAGTAGATCCAACATGCACTAATGAACCGGCCATCAGATGTCGAATGCTTTTTGTTGTGGGGTATATCAAATTATTGCAATAAGGAGCCCCAGGCGAAGGAATAGTATTCCTTGTAAGTTTCTTCTGACTCTGGATTTTCACAGAGTTCTAAGCAATGCCTTCCTTACAAACTCCCCGCAAAATCGACAAGCCGCGACTTGCAGCGTGTCAGCGCTTAGGGTTTGGAGTCTAGGATTTGCGGTTCAGGGCTTCGGAATGGGGCTTTGAGAAGAAACTGCAAAAGCTGCCTGTTAACTTCATTTAGGGTTTAGGGTCTAGGGTTTACGAGAACTAAAGCCTGAACTCTCAAACCTAAACCCGACCCCCCTAGATTAGGAACTCCAACAAGCAAAACCTGACACAGGCAATATACCAATAATGGAGCCAGGTTCCAAAAAGACATGTTTATTTGCTGTCTTGGGACCCTGATAGACCCTAAACGCGCTAAGTTTATCCAAGTGGCGGAGTGGGGCGGATGGTCTTTTGCCTGCAGCTGACGCAAAGCGGCCACGACTGCACCCAAAAGTCCCGGCATGAAATCAACGCAGATCTGGCTACATCGGCTGGAAACATGCCCCGGCAGCATCACTGCTGTCTCAACTTATTTGAAGTCCTGCGTTGGCTTTTCACCTTAGTAAGGGTCTCGAAAAATCACGCGGCCTTAACACAGATTACAACGGTAGGGAAAACCCCATGTACCTCAGCACACCAATGTGGTCTTGTTGCCTCGGCACTACAAAACAAACCTGTGCCAGACTCTAGGCCACAACCCTTACGAGGTAGGGGATACAGCCCAGCAGCTGGGACATAGGCCATACGCCAATCGCAATCCTGAGCTCGTCGAAGTCCGAAAAATATCACATGAAACAAAACGGGGCTGCCTAAGACCCAAGATATGTGTACACAGTTTGCCATGCCTGCCTACCTACCTACCTACCTACCTACCTGCCTACCTACCTACCTACCTACCTACCTACCTACCTACCTACCTACCTACCTACCTACCTACCTACATATGTATGTGTATGCACATGTACTGGTATTCGGGATATTCGTTTAAGTAGCGCGCACATTTGAAGACCCAGCATATAGACTCAAAAAGCTTCTCTTCGACTTTTCTGAGCATTCTGGTTCTGGGTCCTGCGATCAACTGAAATTCTCCTGGGGCTCGTTCTTGGCTACAGTGCTTTGCAGCACTCGACAACAACTCATTGAGTTAATTTGAGCGAACCTGTGTTCAGCCCAACCCTTTGAAGCAACAAACCCCAACGACTCACCCGAGCCTGAGCACTGTTAACCGGACCAGAGCCTCCGGCTACTGCAGGCACTGGTGGATGGAACCGGCTGATGGCCCAAACCCTGAACTTCGCGCACTGGCTGCTTGCACAAGGGTCGGCGCAGTCGTTCGAGTGGGATGCAATGGCAGAGCCGTCGGCCATAGCATCAGCATTTACGACGATGCCTGGTTGAGGTCGCGACAGAGACATGTGGACGAGAAACATGATGCCGAAGGGTCGTCGCACGAGCTGCAAAGCGGACCGAACAAGCAATCAGCTCAGGCTTCCATGGGACAGAAGTCAGCATAGAGTGCTTTCCAAGCAAGCAAGGAGCCCTGTGCCGGCGTCAACAGCGGCTGCCAATAATCACCCAACGATTTCTTCAGAATCTGTACGATACAAGCTTCTCAAGTCCAGGCAGAGTCTGAAAGTTGCTAAGGCACTAGTGCAGCCATCGATGTCAAAGCCACCTGCAGCAATGGCGCCCGGAGGATTTTACTAAGAAACCGGTGCTTCTCAGTATCCATTTACCTTCGGACGCTGCTGCCTCGAACAGCAGGAACAATCACTGTACAAGACATGCCCCTCAATCCTGCAATCTTCCTCAAACACGCCCGCACATGCAATCGCAAACTGCTGAGAACCCACATAACGTGTTAAACTGACCCCTGCTGTCCTATTTCCCAAACCCGTCTACCAATCCCAAATCACACAGAGCCTGGCAAAACCTGAGAAGCCGCTCATCTGCTAAGACTTTTCAAGTCCCAGCCTCATCTGAAAACGCAAGATAACCCTAGAAGCCTCGCCGGCGACCTAAAACTCAAAGTCGCAAGTCTGATGCCCAGCAGCAAAAGGCAAACATAATCCCCAAATCTTATAGATCATAGACGAGAGCCTTTTTTGCTTGTCAAGTCTAGCCAGACCAGAAGCCCAAAGCTCAAAGCTCCCTAAACCCCTAAACCCTAAACCCGGATCCCTAAACCCCTAAACCCTAAGCCCTAAACCCCTAAATCCTAAACCCTACACCCCCAAACCCTAAAACCCTAAATCCTGAGTTCGGGTTTCGACCCTCGGGCTGAGGGTCTCTTTTATGGCTTAGGGTTAGGGTTTATAGGGCTTACCTATAGCCTCCATTGTAGTTCCTTTTTTTGGTTTAACCAAATATATATTATCGAGTTTATAAGGTATCCCCAAAAAGGAACTACAATGGAGACTATAGGTAGAGGGTTTATTTTTCCCTCTCGCATGAATGAGGACCTTTAGAGGGTTTATTTTCCCGCTCGCATGGCAGAGAACGAAGCTCCTAGGCGAGGTTGAATAGGGGCAAACAGTCTCTTCAGAATACTTAGAGGGTTTATAGGGCTTAGGGTTTATAGGGTTTAGGGGGTTATAGCGGTTAAACACACCAAAGTCACCAAAGCCCTGAAGCCCCCCCAAACCCGAAACAACTGAAACTCCAAAGCCGGAGCTACTTTGAGTGCTTGCGGCAGAGCACCGGCACCGGTGAGCAGCGCGAGGGACACCGCGAAACGCCGAACCATAAGCGCCTGATGAAGACGAGCTTTAATTGGAAGTGTCAGGTTTTCATCAGGCTTTCAATCTACCTATAGTGTCCATTGTTGTTCTTTTTTGGGGATACCTTATAAAATCCTTAATATATATATCAAAAAGGAACTACAATGGAGACTATAGGTAGAGTCGTGAAGCGTGAAATCCCAAAAAGGGCCTTACTAGGGTTGCAATGGAAAAGTAAGGGTATCCTATAGGTTCTACCATAGTCTGCTGCTGGCACTGTCGGAAGCTTCTGATCCACAGGCAGGGCGTTAAAGATAAGTTCAGTGTGTAATCGCAGCTGATATGTCTAAAGGCGTTGTGGACAAGTCAACTTACTTGAAGATGGCGCCGTTGTCCATAGTTTTGTTGTTGGTGGTGGTGGCTCTTAGTCTTCTACCGTGGTGAGCAGGTGGCCACAAGCACTCTGGGAAATCCAGACCTGTCTTTATCACAGCTTTCCTACGGCTGGCAGCAGAATTCAGTCAGGTAGACGCAAACTTACTTATCGGAAAACGGTCTTCAGTTCAGTCTGCTGCGTCGCACTTACCGGCTTTGAACCACGATCCTTCTCAGGACTGACAGTTGGATAAGCGCTTTTGTAGTCAGAACTTCACTCATGCAACACCATCCGAAACAGGTAGTGCAAGACCATCAGCCCAACACATTCTTGTTTAGTCGAAAGTGCTGCCTACCGAATGGGAAACCTGCGATGTTTCCTAATGGCACCCAGCACCTAGAGGGTTAGCAGGGGACGGGCCCAGCTGCAAAATAACCACAACCTGAACTCCTGACTAGTGCCTGTCGGCTAGCAATAAAGCTCGTTGCAACTTCCCAAGAAATGTAAGTAGGAAAAAATCAGCTTTCCGCCCAAGCTGCTACAGTCCTGCCGCCGTCCGAAGGTCCTGACTTGCTGTGCATGCAGGGGTTATACAATCACAGCATGGGTAGTTCTCAAAATTAAGGTCACTTTTTAGGTCCTCAATATAGTACGGCACCCTTATAAAAAGGACCCTAAATGGGACCCTAATTTAGAAAACTGCCCGCATGCTACCGTAAGCCTGGACTTTTCCGGTGGGCCCGGCGCTTCTGCACTTGCCTTGCGATACTTTTTCAGACCGTGGCATGCTTGGCAGTCCTGAACGATGGCAGCTGCCAGCAAGCAGGAGATATAGGAGTTTCAGGTTCCAAAATCACAAATATTCTGGTCTTGAAGCTCGGTTGTCTAAGTTTTCTTGCAAACCTAGCTTAAAGTAGTCATCCTGGACTGAACTTCTGCGATGATCAGCCTCGAGCACAAAACTGCGGCATGCTTTGAAATGCTTTGAAACACTGCGCTGCGCAATCGTCCCCGCGCAGCTCAAGCAGTTTCTTCTCGGCAACCGTCCGGGAAGACTCCCCGCAGTTACGCACGACGAGTTCTCTTGTAGTCCCTCCAGGGGTCAAAGAGAAGAGTGCAGGCAGCAGAGTGCGCTGGGCGATGCTCTTCGGGGTCCTGTTCTTCCAACTCACCCATTCTCCCAGATGCTGGGCTCTAGAAACAGTCACCTCAAGCTGCACCGATGCCGATAACGGCGTTGTGCTCCTGATGCTGCACTGATGCTGTTCTGTAGCAGCTCTTGCGCTGCATAGAGTTTGATGTCGGAGCGCTTGAAGGCCCTGCATAACCATTGCAGTTACAAGTGTTTGCGACTATACGTATAGTTAGTTTACATGGGTCAATGTTCGTGGAACAAACCAGTGCACCAGTGCATGGGAGTATGAGGATGCGCATGGGGTTGGGGCTCGCCGTGCTTAACCCCAAGTCTACTCAACCCAAATCCTTGCTGAGAGCACCACGGACTCGAACAGGAACATGAACACCTGCGAAGATGCCTCAGTCTGGTGCTTTCTCGACCGAGACTTCTGAGGTTTAGCGTTTACGGCTGTTTTGCCTGCTTTTCAAAAGCAGGCCTGAAGAAGTACGTCCCGAACTGCAGGCTCAAACTGCAACGGGGTGAGGTGGATTGGAGCTTCTGCCCAACCCTAACCCTTAACTAGTTCATGGTTGGGGTAGTATTAAAAATTTAAATTTCTATTCCTTATTGGGTTTAAGTACCCTTAAAAATGTAAAATGTTACCCAACTATGACATTAACCCTTTTGCAACGAAACCCTACCGTAAAGAGCTGAGGATCGAGTTGGAAGCTCGAGGGCCCTTGCTCTTAACAGCAAGGGCTTTCTCTCATTTTGGAGGGGCCTTGGACATAGTGCTATATATATATATATATATATTATATATTATATATATATATACACATAGGATAAACAAAGAAATAAATATGAAGACAAATACGTATGCACATATATCTTCTCAGAAACTCCCACTTGAAAGACTCGTGGTGGGTAATTATGAGATTGGAGGAGTCATGGCTCTTTACAGCTTTTTGTAGGGGTTCAGACGTGGGGTCCTACCATTGGTGGCCCGGGAAACTCGGATGCTTTTGCATGATCATAACAGTCATGCAAAGTCTTATGGGCCTGGGCCATCTTACCTGTAGTCTCAATTGTAGTTCCTTTTTGGGGATACCTTATAAAATCCTGAATATTTATTTGGTTAAACCAAAAAAAGGAACTACAATGGAGACTATAGGTATTACTGTAAGGCTAGGGGCTAGAGAGCCTGGGCAATGGGGTCGCAATGATTTTGCATAACTTCACTCTACCCCTGTGTCTTGATGTCAGCGTTCCATGCCCCTTCTATGGCACCTACAAGCCCCCTGAGTCCAGTGTTCAGGATTTCGTTGTGCAAGGAAACATTTGCCCAAAAAAGGTTACAATGCGGCTGTGTGACCACGAACGGCGTGCCACGACACTGCAAAACTTATGTGAGACACGCATTGTGTACAAATGAATGTGTAAGCATACATGTGTCTACACACACAGGCACACACGCACACACGCACACACACACATATATCTATATCTATATCTATATCTATATATATATATATATATATGTGTGTGTGTGTGTGCGTGTGCATGTGCATATGCAGCATATGCATGCATGCATGGATGGAGTGGCAGATGCATGTATGTATATACAGACATGCACAAACAAATAGCCAGCCGTATGCGTGTGTGTGTGTGTATTTATACATCATAAACAAACAAATACAAATTAACATAGGTCTACACATACATACGTAATCATACGTACATACATACATAAACACATACACACATACACACATAAAACTTGATAAGCCCGAAGTAAAGGCTACAAGCGGCCCTAAACGCCAAACCGCACCCATGAACCCTTCAAATCTTAAGCCCTAAACACTGAGCACGAAACCCGGAAAACCCAAACCCTAAGCATCGGCAACCAAGGCTGGCTCAGAGTCGTTGTCGAACTCCCGACGAGCAAGGGCAAAAGTTCCATCAGCCTGAGGGAAGGTTTGGGCTCAGGGTATCCCGTCTGCCAGAACCTGACACTCACAATGGTACCAGGACGTCCATGTACCGGTCTTCGGGGTTCAGGGTTTTGGGTTGAGGCTACGTGACCTCTGCGACTACCACATTCCGAGCCCACACTTAACCCTAAACCGCCGCTGCCCGGCCTGGAACGGGATCTTCACCTCGGTACCCACGAGTCTTGCCTCGTCGACCGTCTCGCCATAGAGCGCCTCCCGGAATGATTGGGTACCCTCAGATAGCGGTGTAAGGGTCGTGAATAATGGGTACTTCGGATTTTATGGAGGGCAGATGGAGGGTCTATGCAAACTGTAAAACCCCTCAATCTCTGGTTTTTGTTTATGCAATCTCTGTTTTTTTTTGGGTGGGGCTTTTCAGGTTTAGGACTGGTTCGCTTTGGTGTTTTTGGAGCTTGCAGCATCTGGCTTCAGGGCCTTACTGCTTAGAGTGTCGGGTTGAAACCACTTCTGCAGCAGCCCTAAACCCTAAACCCTAAACCCTAAACCCGAACCCCTAAGCCCTAAGCCCTAAACCCGAAACCCTAAACCCTAAAAGGTTGGAAGGCTCAGATGTGTCCAACTTTAAGGCGGCCCACATGGGAATTTCGGAAAATTAGGGGGCACCTTATTTTGGGGTCCTTATAATATGGATCCTACTATTTGGGCTCCTATATCAGGGTCCCTTATTTTCTGAAACTCCCACATGCACATGTGTAGACGAAACCCAACACCGTGCCCAATCGGTCATCAGACGATGGCATATTTCAAAGCTGCGCCAGTTTCACCCAAAATCGATGATACCATCAACCTCATTTCCTCGCACTGCAACTAGAGGCCTCTTTGCGACCTCGGAGGCCAACTTCCAAAGGAATGGTCCTGACCTTTTCGTGCCACGGTCGGGGGTTGGATCGCAAGGGATATTGTTTGGCTGCAGGGTGGGCGAGATGGGAGCGAGGAGGCACGAGGGAAGCAACCTTCTCCGTCTGTGTTTCAATGTCTCCATGTGCAGATGGCTATATAATTGCCCATAGGCCCCATAGTAGTTCCTTTTTGTGATTCCCTAATAGGATCCTGAATACAAGCTACAAAAAGGAACTAATATGGGGCATATGGGTAATTGCACAGGGTCTATAGACTCAGGTTTTCTGGGACCCTGCAAGGCAAGAGCTCTAGCAGCAGGGATAGTAAAAAAAAAAACATTGGATTGGGGTGTAGGGCTTATAGGCCCGTTACCATGAGACCAATGAGAACAGCAGGAATAATGAGATCTATGTCGAATCTAGCAAACACAACAACTACTGCCTGAATTAGCCACTCCGTGGCACTGACCACAGTTGCAAGCGTGCGAAGAGCAACTGCGATCCTCAAGGTGATGAGCCTAATAAGGCAACTACACCCTGTTGTCAGAACCCCCCATAAAGCCCCATAGCCCTACAATACTATTCTGATTCTGATCACTTCCAGGGTCACGACGGGCTGCCCCGGTCCGGGCGAGAAGCCATTTCCCTTATCTGCACCCGGGTCGCCAGTCCTCAGCAAGGGCTTGCATGACTAACATGTCTCGTTGGGTCTCACATTGCCTTTATGATTATAACAGGTCTTGGATGATTTGGGTATAAATTTACACTATCGCAATATCGAAAGTAACCCTAAGGTCTTAAATCAGTCGTTATTCGGGCCTCTATACTGGCTGCTCCGGGTTGTTTGGCACTTCCGTGGGTTTCAGGGTCGGAGTTTCGACCTAGGGCTTCCAGAGATTTGGGGATCGTGAACGAGATGGGCACAGCAGGGATAGGGTTTAGGGTTTATGGGGGCTAGGAATGGACGATCAAAGAATATTTGAGTGCCCTGGCGTCCGAAAAGCTTGGAGAGCAGCTACATTGGCAAAGCACCGTCAGTCTACACTGCGTGACTCGAACTTTGCCCGTCGAAAATTCGGCGGACAGGGTTTGGGCAGTCTTTGACGTATTTCTAGCTGTCCACCTCGGCAACCTGAGAACATGGCTGAATGATGAAGCCGTCGGCACGCTGGATAGGCAGCCTCTCGCAGAACACGGGCCATGCTGAGTGACGCGCCCTAGATTCCTTGGATGGCTTGTGACCGACGGTGGGGACGACATCGCAGATCGCCAGCGGGAAAAAGCATCAGGTTGACTTCATTCATAAGAAGAGCCATCGTTAATGCTAATAATGGGTCATCATCATCAACATCACCATCTTCATCTTCATCATCATCGTCACCATCATCATCATCATCATCATCAAAAAATCGGTAGGTTTTCGGCGATCTGGTTCCCAGCAGGCCAGACGTCCCGTCTGCGCTTGGTGGATGGTGTGGGAGCTGCACCATGAAACGATCTCAAGTGGCAGTCGCAGCATGGTAGGTACAGACCTTGACATTACGCAACTAATGCCAAGAACGCTCATCTTCGCAGACCCTTTTAAGCACGGACCCTAAACCCTAAACCATCATAAAGAACAACTGATCTCTTGTGGGAACCGGACATGTGATTGGGTCTTGTAAGCCCCAGCCACCCACACACTCCAAGACTCCAAGATGCTTTTGACGTGGGGCCTTAATAATTAGAATAGGGTTCCTCTAAGGGTTACTCTAGAGGGTTACTATAAGGGTTATTATAAGGGTTCTAAATTTATAAGGGTTAAGCATAGGCGCCTTAATAATTAGAATACGGTTTGGGGATATATTATACTAGAACTATAATCAGGAACCCCCAAAACAGTATTGATAATTATTAAAGCCCCTATATTTTTGAAGAGCCCGCATTGCGGATCCACCTGCCCTGTACTGAAAGCCAGAGTTGGCACTGACGACGACTCTGGAAGTCGAGCCAACAGAAACCCGAAACCGCCTGACTACACGAAACCCGAAAAGACCCAAACATCCGAAACTTGAACTGAACCTCTCAGTGCCCAACAACGAAAATCAAAATAAGCCCAAACCCCGAAAAACGAACCAACAGAAACACCGACCCCCAAGAATCCTCTTCGGCCAAGCATTGTAGTACCTCCCAACCCCCTGTAGCCGGGCCCGTTGTAGAACTTGCGATTCACCAGGTCAAGGAAGTTGCCGGCCTAGGCGAGCGAATCAATGTCTTGTCCCGGTACGTTTAAGGTGCTACGGCTACGGTTTAGGATTCAGCGCCCGCACGGTTCAAATAAGATTCCGAAGAAGACGGCACACTCCACTACAACATGCATTCTTACCAGACCAACCTGACGCACAGCTGCTAGGCAGCCCTGCGCGAAAAAAAATTAAGAGCACTCAGACTCAGACGAGAAACCGGGAAGCTCGGACATGGTCAGCATGCATGCATGCATGCATGCATGCATGATATGTATGTATGCATGTATGTATGTCTGCATGTGTATACATGTGTATGCATAATATGTATATGTATATGCATATGTATATGTATTGGCCTTGGAGCTACTATGCGGCAACCCCTCTAAGGCGAAGCTGTACTCTAGATTTCTATAAGGTACAAGTACCCTGAGGGTTCATTCGTACACTGTTGACACTCCGGCTCGGACAACGGCAAGAGTGAGGCTCAATGACAACGCGTTGAGGTGACCATGGGACCTCCTTCTATTACGGCACTCTGATATAGACCCCAGAGTGAAGGATCTATATATATATATATATACATACATATATATATATATATATATACATTACATACACACACATATCTACATAAATCTGTGATATCTGTATCTATATCTGTATATTTATATATAATAGTCGTAAGTAAGGACTCCCAAGATGAAGAAACCCCTACGCAGGTTCAAGGTTGCGGCCTGGCTAGGTTAAGGACACAAACCTCACTACACCCCAAACAACACCCCGACACACTACACCTCTCTCGCGCAGTCTCGAAGCATCAGCTGCGTTCAGGCGTGCAATCCCTGCAGCACCTTGCGCCCTGCACACCTTCAAACTGAAAGGCTGCGTCGGAAGTATAGGGGCTTTAACAATCTAAACAGGGTCTTGTAGGGGTTGCGGGTGTATGGTCTGGGATTTAGGGCTGAGCTTATGGCGGTTAAGCCTTCAAGGTCGAGGGCTTTGGGGTGGAGGCCAATAAGGGTACCTACTGATCGCCTACTGGTCCTCGTGGGACCCGAATGCCGAAAACTGTGTTTGTTTGCACAGTATTAGCTACAGAAGCGAAAAAGCAATAGTTCCACGGCGCATAGGTTAAGAGAAAATGCATTAAAACTGACGAAACTAACGTACCAAAAATCAAGTGGATTCCTGACGGTCTATATGTTGCTAGGCTTCGGGCCGACAATGGTGCGGACCAGCCGTCGATGACCATAGTAAACTTGGCCTGCGTGCACGAACAAGTGCGGCAATCATTGAAAAGGCCATGGCAAGGGGCAGCCGGTCTAATTGCTGGAACTCAACACAAGGTGCGACTTTCGTTACTCGCTTAGCACGGAAGCGCACGAAACGCTTGGATCGCAACAAGACAATACAAACTGAGCCATATTCTACCTGAAGTCAGGATGCCTCAACCGTACCCCCTCAAGCATACTTTGCCAACCACATAATAATTACTAATACTCTTTTGGGGGTTCCTTATTATACTTATAATATGATATACCCAAAAACCCTACATGTATTCCCCGGGCTCTCCCCAAGACAGCAAGCATCCTGCGCGCCGTGGCTCCAGCTTCGAGTTTAGGTTAGGGTTTAGGGGTTAGGGGTTTAGGGGTTAGGGGTTTGGGGTTAGGGTTTAGGGGTTCAGGGGTTTAGGGTTTAGGGATCAGGGTTTGCATAGCTGACCTCTGGCCTCGTATGTCTGGACAACTTGAACCCGAAACCGCAAGCTAAGTAGCATAGGGGCCTGATGCGAGTATTCTATAGTTATATTAGTTATTAGTTATATTAAGGAGCCCCCACAATAGTATTGTTACTTGTTTAGACCCCCATATTCTGTTATCTTCGCCTTCAGCGGACTGCACAGTGAGTTTCATCGTAAGGAACCCCATCCTTAGCCTCCGACCTCCCTTTGCATAGAAACCGCAACATCGTCAAAAACCCAGCCTCAGAACCCATCTACAGTACTCCCATAGACCCTCCAAGGTCTTGGGGTTTAGGGTTTAGGATTTAGGGTTTAGGGTTGTGGTATGCTACACCACAGGCATGAGAGGGACTGTACACGGAATGCTGATACTATTTGTTCAGGTCCCTGCGTGAGACCCTACCAAAGCTTCCATTAACGTAGGGGCCTTGATAAATAGAACAGGGTTTTGGGGTACATCATGCTATATCTATCATAAGGAGCCTCCAAAATAAAACAGTATAGGTAATTGCTGATGCCCCTTTATACCCTGACTCCCCACACCGACCTTGGATTCCGGAACTCGCTGCCGGTCATTGAACCCAAGGCTTCTTCCTGAACCTAAAAAACTGTATGGCAATGGCAAAAGCTCAGAGCCTAATGCCCCAAGGTCCCCAAACAATCGCCTTCGGGTTTATGGTTCAGGATTTCGGGTTTAGGGCTTATAGAGTTTAGGGTTTATGGTTCAGGATTTAGGGTTTAGGGTTTAGAATCGAAAACCTGAGGAATCACAGGGCGGGCTGGCCTCCTCGATGAGCTCTTCGTCGATGACATACCTGTAGCACATCAAGGACATCGGGACTGGAGGTTCCGGGTCTGCAGTTTGCAAAAATGTTAAACAAGTTGATCGCGTACGTTCAAGCGTTCAAGGCTCCTAACCTTTTAGACGGAAGCCGCACTTACGGGGAGAACACAGCCTAAGCTCGAGAGACCCCTAAATCTACAGCCTGGGCTCGAAACCCCACAAAGGCAAATTGCCGGTGATCTACTACGGACTTCTAACAGCTATGGTTTCATTGAGGTCAGTGGACCAAGCCTCTATCTCTCTAGATATGTGTTTATATACACACATTCACATGCACATGTCTATCTATGTTTGATATGTATACATATATATATATATATATATATGTATGTGTGTGTGTCAATAGTCCTCAGCATGTTCTTCTATAGCTGCAGCATCAAAAGCTCCTGCTTACCCGACGTGTGTCTTGAATAATAAGGTTTTAACTCAGCGCCTTCCGAGGTTTGGAGTGCTTGCAAAACACCAATCCGATGTGGGTAGTCCTCTGGATTTGGGTCTCTTTGTGGGTCCCCAAAGTAAGTAGTCGGGCACCCGTATCAAAAGGATCCTAAAAGGGACCCTAATTTCACCCTAATTTCGTTAACTACCTATATGTAGTGCAGCAAACACCCCCCGCCCCCAAGCTTCGACGAGTCTAGGCGTGAGCCCGCTTGACTGCATGTCTGAGATAATAATGATAATAAAAAAACTAGGATTTCTATCGTGACCAAGAATTTCTTTAATCAATAATCATACGAATGATATCAATAATAGACTTCCTGGGTCAGATAAGAGGCCGGACTTGTATTTCAGCAATCTTTCGCTATCATACTGTACATGGTAGACCTGACAACCACAAATGAGTTCCTGCTGAACCCTAAACTGCCCCACAATTTCTTCCCTCGAGCTTCTCCCTACACCGCCGTCCCGAGAAGCCTCCACAAGAGTGCAACAGATACCTGGTTTACACATGATCCTCCGTCCTGTCTGTGGCTTAGGATCAAGGGTGCCCCGTGACTGCATAAAACTCAAAGCCCACATGCAAACACGACGGACAAGTTTCTCTTGTAAGATCTCTCTATACCTCCATCTAACTGATGGAAGAATCCCTGAAACCTCCAGCGCCCAATCTTCTGCGACTAAAAAGTCCTGAAGGACTGAATCTTAAGATCATGAAGAAGAGCCAGCCAACCTAAATGCTATAAACCCTGCTAACTCATATATATATATATATATATATATATTTATCTATCTATCTATCTATCTATCTATCTATATATATATATATGTGCATTTATTATAGGAAAATAGGTACATGATTGAACCCTCATCCCAAACTCCGGCCCTCACCGACAGTCCAGGACTCTGGCTTCGTGGCGCCCGAATCTGGGCCACGGGTCAGAGTCCACTCCAGCACGGCCCGACCTCATCGGGCACCAGCTTTGAGAGAAAATAGGGTTCAGGGTTGAGGGTAGAGTGAACTGAGAGCGAGAGTAGTAAGTCGCAAACGGATGCCCTTTCCGATTGGATTCGATCATCTTCTCTTGTCGACAGCCGCTGGAATTCCGACTTCAGTTCCGGCTTTCTGGTCTGGGGTTCAGGGTTTAAGTCTTTCGCTCTCACACTCGAGCTCGTCAGATGCGGTTCACGGTTGGCAGTCGGGAAAGCAGGTGGCAGAAATACAGCACGATAGAAGAAGCAAAGACAACGAAACAAACACATGTCAGACGAACTCACGAAAACCTCTGCGTGTCCCAGCAAAGCTCACACTTTGCTGGTACTAAACCCTAAACCCTAAACCACTAGAGATCAACGGTGAATGTGAGGGAGCCTGCAACTTGACCAGCCCCTATAAACCCTGGCCCTAGCATGCCCTGAAGTATCCCAGAACCCCTAAACCCTAAATCCTAAACCTTAAACCCTTAACCCTAGACCTGAAAGACCTGAAACCCTGAACCCTAAACCCTCGCCCTTGGATGCCCTAGCCCTAACATCCCTAGATATCCCAGAACCCGGGAAATGTGTGCGGTAATGTATTGGCCTCAATGATTAGAATAGGGTTCCTTTAAAGGGTTACTATAAGGTAGCATAGGGGCCGTAATAATTACAATAGGGTTTTGGGTATACTGTCCTATATTTGTAATAAGAAACCCCCAAGCATAGTATGGGTAATCATTTAGGCCCCTATCTTCTTCCAACAGGCTGAGGGGCGTGCTTTACGATAGCCATGAAAACGATAAGTGAAAATCTGTATTTCCTCCCACATAGCAGGGTGGGTTTAGGGCTTTCATACCCTAAGGGTCCATGTACCCAAACAGTATGTACTTTGGCCCCAAAGTACCTATATAGGGACTACTTTAAGGCCAAAGTATATACTAGTTGGGCACCTGGACCCTTAGGGATAGAGCATGCAAGGTCCGATGGTGCGGACTTCCACTCGCACAACGTGGCTTCGAGATTCGAGAGCAAAGTTCCGGGTTCACGGCAGACAGATTCAGCAAAGGCACACCCTAAACCCTAAACCCTAAACCCTAAAACCCTAAACCCTAAAACCCTTAACCCTAAAACCCTAAAGCCCTGGAACCCTAAACCCTACCCTAAACCTTAAACTTTGCGACTCTAGGATCTGTAGTAGGGCTATAGAGCCCCTCTTCTTTCCGCCCGGAGTTTGTGGCATGATTCCTGGGCTTCTACATAGAGACACTGCCGTCTTCTAGATCTTCTACCGTAGCTTCCAGGCTCAATCGGCTCTTGCATTCAAGCTGTGAACACAGTCCCAAAAAGTGCGAAATCCCTGAAACCCTAAAATTTGAAACCCCAAGCTCTGAACCCTAAGCCCTAAACCCTAAACCCTAAAAACCCTAAACCCAAAGCCCTGAAAACCCACTGGACAGAGACCAGCGGCCATCGAGTCTCGGCAGGTTTGCGTACTCCGCCGGAACCTGCGAAACCGTCGGAGACTTTTGGGCATTAGGGGTTTAGGGTTTAGGGTTTAGGTACCTATTTAGGTCTACCTATAGGCTCCATTATTTTTCCTTTCCGTGGTTTATATGTAGGATCCTATAAGGTAGTCGCAAAGAGGAGCTACAATGAAGCCTATGGGTACCTACTGTCGGGGTCTGAGGTAGAGTTAGTAGGGATCACTCTTTGCAGAATCTCCCAACCTCCTCAGGGCTCCGTAGGCGGCCCTCTGCCAGCTCCAGGCAAAACCCGGAATTCTGCACCGCCAAGCCCTGGCCCTAAACCCTCAACCCTCAACCCTCAACCCTAAACCCTAAACCCCTGAACCCTAACCCCTAATCTAGGAGACACAGACTGTTTGGGGCTAAGCCCAAAACTGCTGACTCAAATCTGCCCCAACACCGTTCCAAGTAGCCCTTGAACGTAATATGACATAATATACTGCTATAATAAACTGTCATATACTATGATATACTATACTATACTAGAATATATTATGAAATGCTATAATATGCTATGCTATACTATACTACCTGGACTGTGGTATACTACATTGTACATTATACTATAAGATCATAAGATATACTATCATATACAAACCGCTTCACATATGGCTTCGGCTTGCTGGGATTGGCTTATCTTGAGCTTGGACAGTAGCGACAGGTAGAGAAGGCATTTATGGTGCCCGGTTGAAGATTTTGAGGTCTACAGTGCAAAGTGACTGCAAGAGATGGGCACACCTGGAGAGGTCTTGGCAAACTCAACAACTCAACAAGGAAACCCTTTCTTTGGGCAGGGACTGCAATGCACTAACAACGAAACCCTAAACCCCCAAACCCTAAGTGCCCAATTGCAATGTAAAGTGGAAGTGCAAGCCAAGGGCTTCACAGCACACACCAGGCATCGGACATTCAGTTCAGCAACAGGAGGTGGCTTCATGGGCTTCATCATTCTGATCTTTGCGGTGGTCGTGGTTGTCGTAGATGTAGTTGTCGAACAAGCTCTGGTTCTAGCCGTCTAGCAGTACAAAGCGTGCTAGAATTGGCCGAACTCTAAGTTTGATGTCCCTGCTACGAAGTACTAGTCACTAGTATGGCTGTTCTCACTGCTGCTGTCACCAACTGCTGCGATTTAAACCGTAGGATGCGATGATGAGGTGTAAAGCCTTCACACAGCGGATGCTGCCTCTTTAACCGTTGATGATGCGAACCTTCAGCTGCGCAGGTCGCAATGAGGTGGCGCAGATTATCTGTACTACCACTTCAAAGGTTCCCAAGAAGCCACATAAACATAAGGATCAAGCAAGTAAGGTTTCCTTGCATATACCGAAATCTGGGATCCTCGTGCGCACGTGGTCTCTTAGGGCCCTCAGATCCCACTGCTCTCACAGCTACAGGTCAAAACGTGCCTGCTCGCCACAATTTCATTGATGGCTGCAGATCGCATCAACATATGCAAAATACACAAAACCGCCTTACTGATGGCAAGCACCGGCTGTAGGCCTCATTTGCCACCTGAAGACAAAGGCCCTAGACCTGCACTAACACACGGGTACCGCGCCGAATTCGGTATTCTCATGATTCCTTTGCAAACGGCACAGCCACTTCATAAAGCCTGGCGAGAGGATTCTTGCTCGTTCTGAGCTTCCTTCGCTGTCTCCACGTCCTCACCCATCACATTCTCAATGCTATCATCACTGTCGGACTTGCTCCCCTTGGGTGGCTCAGACTCCTGTAGCAAAAAAAGCTAACGTGGCAGACAGGACGGTCTCTGTTGGTTGATCACATTGGTAAAATTGGTGTGGACAATATTGTTGGAACTGTTTCTTCTTAAACGAGGTAGAAGTGTGTCTTCAAAAGTGGAACCACAAGTCCACACCGCCCGGGTGGACAAACCAAGATGAGAACAAGTTTTGAAGTTTGCTAGGCTTGCTTCGGTTTCATGAACATGAAAACGTCGGGTGATGTTCCAGACTACAGTTCTACTCGTAGCCGTCTTGCTCCAGCAGTAGTCGTCATCGTCGCCGAAGCAGGTATATTATGGCAGTCGTACGTCTAGTGGCCACGGTGGGTGCAGCCTTTTTTGTAGTCGTCGTCGTCCCAAGTCCTAAGTAGACGGCATCGTCGTGGTAGCAGGTTCGCAGTAGTACAGTAGAAGCAGTAGCAGTAGTTGTAGTAGTAGTAGTAGTAGTAGTAGTAGTAGTAGTGGTAGTGGTAGTGGTAGAGGTAGTGGCAGTGGTAGTAGTAGTAGTAGAAGAAGAAGAAGAAGTAGCAGTAGCAGGAGCAGCAGCAGTAACAGTAGCAGCAGCAATATTGAAACCAGAGGGAGTCGCAGTAGCAGAGCAGCAGTAGTAAAGGTAGAGGGAGCAGTAGTAGCAGTAGGAGTAGGGGCAGGAGAGGAGTAGCGTAACTCTACACCCCAAACCCCCGAAGCATTTGTTGCCAAAACCTCTGCCCCCCAACCATCTCCTCCGTGAGAAGAGCCTCGATATCTTCGCTCTTGAAGAGGCAAGGAAGGACTTTGAAACGAAACGGAATCAGGCTGGCGACCTGGGTTCGAGGCTTCGAACACATGGGGCTAAGAGCTTGAGGAACTTTGTATTTCATATAAGTGTCTTGATGATTTTGGAGGGGGTTTAACGTCCATAACAGTATAATCGAAAATAGGACCATAAGGAAAATACTATAAGTACAAAGAGTTCAGATCTCGACATTACTTGGTGCTGAGGGCATTTAGGCATATAGGTTTTCGGATTAAGGTTATGATTTGGATGTCGGGGCTTATGGTTCGGGGCCTTACTTGCCCGCAACACCTCTAACTTTTGCGGCCTTCGTAAGCAGAGTATGACTAACGTGGCGCTGGTGGGTTATATGCAGTAAACTTCCTTAAGCACAGAAAACCTGTTCAGCACAGCGTTACTCTTGATGCAGGCCTGTATTGGCCCAAAAGGGGTGCTTTGCACTGCGTGCTTTGGGCCTGCAGATACTGCCTTGAAGATTCAAGCATAAGTATATTGCACTCGACATTGCGCTCGCGTGAGCTGCTTTGGCAAAAACACAACAAAGCGAAGGCATCTCACGCTCACGAAGCAGAGACGGCAAACGTAAAGTGAGCGGAGAGAGAGAGAGAGAGAGAGCCGGACATAGAGCGAGGATGAGAGAGAGAGCGAGAAACAATCAACAAAGAGCGAGAACAAAAGAAAGGGTTGAACCGTAAACCCTATAAGAGTGTTGAGCAACAGTCCTTGGGTCCGCACAGTACACTCAAAATAACAAATAACAACATATGCTGATGGCAAACGCATTCGCGCTGCAGCGCCGCGCCTAGTGTCGGGTGCGACGCATCTTCACGCCACAGTCCCGTGCATCTCCGATTCCCGGAAATCTGCAGCTCCCACTACCGTGCAGAGATGTGGCGTGCAAATGTTGTGTGGCGTGGACTGTTAGGTGTTTTCTACCTTCGGGTCTATGCTGATATAACTAGCAACACGAGACGAATATCCGTCTTGAACTTGCCATCTTCTCGCCAAAAGCTTGCGAGAAGACAGAGGGATGCGGTGATTCACGACGTCGGCTGTGTTCTTCAGAAAAGTAATAAGCTGAGCCGAGGACGAAGACGGGAAATCCAAGGCCGATGTAGATGTTGCAAAGCCAGCAACCAACCACCTTAGCTCAGCTCTGCATGCGTCAGAATTTGCCTGTATGAATAGTTGGATACACTAATACACTAGTTTGGGTGTCTGTGTGTGTGTGTGTATGTGTCTGTCTTTCGGCTTGTCTGTGTCTGTCCGCTTGTTTGTCTCTCCTTCTCCCTCTTTCCCTCCCTCTCTCCCTTACCCGGTGAGCACTTTCTCTTGCTCATATGGGGGTTTCCGAAAATAGGGGACCCTAATATAGTACCCTAAATAATAGGATCCTTATTATAAGGACCCCAAAATAAGGTACCCCCTATTTTCGGAAACCCCCCATATTCGTTTGGCTGTTGCTGCTGCTGTGGCGACTCCCGGTCAGACAGTGATAGCCTATTGGAGTGCCAAAGATTCCGGTTTAGGGTTTAGGGTTTAGGGTTTAGGGTTTAGGGACTCATAACTAAGCGGCTGGATGGCTCTCAAATAGCCACGGTTTAGGGTTTAGGGCTTAGTCTTTCTTGGTATATGCCCATGTCCGTATGGTTGGTTTTGGTTCACCCGACAACTATAGGCCATAAACAAAAAGCATATTGAACGGCAGGCAGACGACCATCAAGATCTGAAGCAACGTGAAACAATGGACGGTCTTGAGAGGCACGTGGCTGTAGCCTGAGTGGTCAGTGATGCTGGGCCCAACGTTAGCGTTGCATGTGTGCGAACCACATCTGACAAACATGCCAAGCAGCCTTTGCCCGTTCGTGGTTTGGATGGATCCTTGGGCTATGCAGGGGAGGTGGCAGAAATCATGACGTTCGTTGTATACTAAGTCTTAAAGTGCTCAGAAGTAACAAAGCGATCATGTCAAGCCCTAGACGACGCTTTTGGACGACGGTCCTCTTCAAATTAAAAAAACTTTTGCTTGTTCCAGGTCAGAATAGAAAGCTTAGAAGCAAGACTTCATAAGAAATGTAGCACCAAACAGAACTATGAAATCAGGAGCTACGCAAGCAAGCTCGGGTGTATGACCGACGTGTCGAACAACGCAACCATTCAAAGCAACCACGACCCTCCACAGCAAGCAGATGACAAAGCGCAACGAAAGAAGCAGCAGCAGCAGCAGCAGCAGCAGCAGCAGCAGCAGCAGCAGCAACATCATCTTCACCATCATCATCGTGAAAGTAGTAGCACAAGCAGCAAGAAAGTACCCCTGAAAAAAAAAAACAACTAAGACATAACAGTCATGACGATACTAACAATGATAATCGTAGTATCATAACCATGGATAATCAAAACATCCACAATACAGTCAAAATCATAATCCCAATAGTAATTTCCAATAAATCATGACAATAA